TATTTAGCGTAGCCTCTTATAAACAGTGAGTGTATTTTTTATTTAAATATATTTTTAATTAATTTCCATATATTTTCAATTTTTTTTTTTTGCTTGTGTTGGTTTGTAAATTAATTTACTGAAGAAAGCAATCAACAATGTGCTCAAAAGTGCTCGAATGGTAGCTACCCTGAGTCATTAAACACTGCTCATATAGCATATGTATATGTATTAGTAACACCATATGCACACATACACACGCACCTAGAGGGTGCAAATGTTTTCGAGAGTTTTATTAGGGGATATTTAGTGTTGAATCGCTTCTGTTCTAGCTGGACATGTCGATATACGACACAGCTTTAAGGGGAGGAGGGTAGGTGCTCAAAATCTATAATGCTCACATTTAACCTACTGACCCACATAATACACTTGCCATAGACATATTTCTAGTAACAAGAAGTGCTCAAGCAGCTTCAAACTTCTCTCGATTTCTGTTCAATTCATGATTCCAAAATTCAAATTCAATATATGCTATTGACACTATGCCATTCCATGTGATTGACGACCTTAATCAACTCATCTCAGCTTTATGTTTAATTAATAAACAAATTAATTATTGATATTGTGGCTGTGTGTAAAAATACATCACTGTAATAAGAAATATAAATTTTTACGAGAATGTCGTGATATGATATATGATTTATTTGATGGTGTTCTAGTTATGGGCACTTCAATCTCATCATTCGATCCGAACAAAGGGCAATTCTTGTTTTACTAGTGCCCGATGCCAGCTGAAATCAGTTTGCCCTTAGCCCAGTCCCAGGGCAGTTTGTAAATTATTAGCCACTCGCAGAGGTCTAACCCGACACATATGTACATGATGAGTGTGTGTGTGTGTAAATATGCGGCAACACACAGACACACACACACACACACACATATGGGGTAGTTGGCACTATGCGATTTATGTGGCGCTCGTCGTCGAGTGTCTGGGCCCTCGGGAATATTCAACACATCATAAAATTTATGAGCGCTGCGTAAATGTGTTAAAATTTTATGCGAGTTTCCGCTGATGCTTTTGTTGTTGTTGTTATTGTTGTTGTGGTTGTTTTTAGTCGAGCTGCAGTCCAAGGCAAATATGTTTCAAGCGGCGAGAGTGATCAACGTAATAATACCCTGCGGAGGTACTAAGCTTAAGAAATGTAATTCATGTTGCAGAGGAAGTTGATTAAGTCAACATGTATTTAATCGACATTGGCGGGCATTGGTATTAGCATTGACTTTGGGCTTAGTCTGGCATTGGCCTTGCCATTGGTTATTATATATTGCTATAGATATTACTAATGCTATAGATATTACTAATGCTATAGATATTACTATTAGCATTATGATTAGTGCTAGTATAAGTATTAATATTAGCACTGGTATTAGAATTAGTATTAGCATTGGTACTGCCACTGGCATTAGCATTAGTATTAGCATAAAGCATTAGCTTTAACTTTAGCATTAGCATTGAGAATTAGTATGAGCATTAGTACTAGTGTTAGCATTAGCATTAGCATTAGCATTAGCATTAGCATCAGCATTAGCTTTAGCATTAGCATTAGCATTAGCATTAGCTTTAGCATTAGCATTAGCATTAGCATTAGCATTAGCATTAGCATTAGCATTAGCATTAGCATTAGCATTAGCATTAGCATTAGCATTAGCATTAATACTAGTGTTGGCATTAGCATTGGCAAGTGCATTAGCATTAGAATTAGCATTAGCATTGACATCATATTATTAGTAGTGTTTTAGTGTCTTAGTATTGGTGTATATTATATTGGTATATGAAATCGGTTCGCTATATCATATATCCTAAGATACTATGACTTAATTCTCAGGCTTTTACTGGTTAAAATATATGTTATTTTTACTCTCTCTCTCTCTCCCTCTCTCTCTTCTATATCACATATATCACTAACTGTAATGCATATCTAAATTCAACACAAATTTTAGTTAAAAATTTCTTTCCATCTAATTTATAGCACCTTACGGAACAGTCGCTCGTAGCTGGGCCAAGGGTATATTAACTCCGTCTCGTTATTCCCGCTACGCCATTCACACTGCATGACTTATAAAATTTATCTACGCACATGTGGTCTAGACATTTCTTCCCCGTAAAATATGCATAAAATTCAACAAATATGTGCAGTCTGAAGCTAGAGCTGGTTTTACTATTATTACAAGGGCTTCAAATCTTAGTGGTTAGAATAATGTAAATTCAAATTAATTACATGCAGTTATAAATTGAGTTAAGCGCCAATTATGCGGCTGTTGACTTTGACAAGTGCTTGGGCAGCACACTAGGTATACAATTATTAACCTAAGCTCGCTTTATAAATATTAAATTCCACTATTCGTATTGTTGTCTAATAACAAATTGAGCAGAGCTTCAGGTGAGAGACCAGAACAGGCGACAGTTACCTGAGACCTGCTTAATGGGCTTCAGCTGCTTGTCAATTCTGATTTCAGCTGCGGTTATTAGGCTCGGCTTTCGACACTCGAGCAGCTGCATAATTGATGCGACTGCCATAGATGAGATATACGTGTGTATGTGTGTGGTGTATATATGTATTTATATTTATTTACGTTTTATTTATATAAATGGGGGGGAAGTAGCTTGACTGGAGACAAGCCTCAGTTCGATGTAAGGGCAACTTGTCAAATGGCATCGTGGGTGGCTACAAGCGCGTACAACTATTTGCTGCTCAAATAGACACACGCGGAGCGAAAGAGACGGATAGATAGTGGGCGAGGGAGACAGCGAGCGTACACACATGCAACATGTACTTGCGACTTGTTACTTGTAACATTCTTTTGGCGTCTACCGCCCGTCGTGAGGCAACAGTTGCCACAGTCAAATATATGTGCATAAGGGCTTGCAACAACTCGATATTATATATATACATACATATATAGAGAATCACTAACATGCTTCATGTATATGTATAATGTATATTGCATATATTATATGCTACCATTCATACACATTAAGTCTCCTTCTCTCCTTCTCTCCTCCTCTCTGTCTGAAGTTGTAAATGCAAAATGCTTTTCATTTTGTTTTGTTATGGATTTCTAAAGCTTACACTTTTCCATTTCCACTTGTTTTCCATTAAGAAAAAAAAAAAAAAAAAGAATGAAAACTATTCAAAAAGCTGTGTAAAATATTATTACACAAAGTTGGCAGAAAATAAGCTAAACTTTGTTTGTTGGGGAATAGGCGCTTACAGCTTTCTTTCTTTCTTTCTTTTCTATTTTGTATTTCTCGTCTTTCAGAAATCTTATGAGACTACACACAGGCCAACAGAATGCGCTGACATTTAGTCAGCAGCAGTTTGATCATAGTTTTCCCCAAAGGGAACTCAAACTAAAGCAGCCTTTATAAACTTTAAAGTACCAGCAATACTTTCTAGACCTCGACAAGACCTGAACTTGAAATATTCTTTGAGCAATGAAGTTGCAGTCGAAGAAGCTGGGAGAAACTTAGAGCCGAGTGTGTGCGTGGCAGCTGGTAAGCAAATTGAATAGATGTTCATTCGATAAGAAGAAGATAAACATTTTTCCGCTTAAAAGAGTTTGGAAAGAAAATATTACTTTGAGTAATGTTTGGCTTGATGGAATGGGATGTCAAAATATTTCTAGAATTATGTTTATTTCAAAATGTTATAGATTCGATGGTGAAATTGAAGTGAAATTCAGTTTGAATTGAAACTTGAATATGAAAGCAAGAACTTGAAAATGAAAACTCGAATTTCAGTTTCAGATTAAAAATAATCAAGTCCTTTGATAAACGAGTTCTTTTCTTTTCTGCGTATCTCTTTTGGTAAGATATAAGGCTAGTTATTTTAATCTATTTATTAAACAGTTAGTTGATTGAATCTCAAAATGGGCTGCAAACTTTTTATGCCTATCCTACAACAGGCGTGCTCGAGTATAACATATTTGCATCATTATATATGAAACTATACTTTTTTAATATGCTCCATGGCATAAGATCTAAATGTTTTTCTAACTATAAATGCACTCAAGTCATATTTGTATTTGTCTCCAGGCACATTTCTAATGCTCTCAGCACGATGAGCCTTGTCAATGCTGTAGAGCATTGCGTCAAGCTATTTGAAGAACTGTTGTTTAATCAAAGGCTGGCATAGCAATAGCCTGGTAATAGCATTCAGCTGGCAGATGATGCAGCTACATATAGTTTATTGATGCAACGGCTGCATGGCTGTGAAATAACTTAAGCTGATGATAAAACATATTAGAGCAGTTGCCGTAGCCAGGGCAAATGCATCAAGGACACCAGCTGAGAGCTGTGAGAGTTGAGCTGAGTTGAGCATCCTTTTGGTGCAGTCACAGTTGACTTGCTTTGCACTCGATGGATGTATAAAGTGAGTATGTGTGTGAGAGTGTGTGTGTGTGAGAATGTGTGTGTGTGAGCGTGTACCCATTCATATTTCTTTTCATTTGGCACCTGCTGTCGCCGTTTGTTACTTGCCATTCAGTTTTATGAACAAGCATTTCAATTCGCGTTTAGCGGAAGTGGCAGCGAAATTGAATCGCAGGCTGTAATTTCCGCTGCACACAAAAGCTGAAGAAGCTGCGAGCAGAGCTCGCGTGGAAGAGGCGAATACATTGGATACAATGAACGGCGACGGCAACGGCGACGGCGATGCCCAAGCAGTGTGCTGAATTATTAAAAAAAAAAAAAAATTATATATATATATATAGCGAACTAACTGCATGCGAATGGGTATGCGGGTGCTGAAACCCATTAGAGTCAGGTATTTAAAAATTAAAAGCAGCACACACACAGGTGTACATGCACACACATACACACAACTGGGAAGAGCCGTTCGTTTAGCTAGCGGGCAGCTCTTTACACGCAATTTGATTTACTTAATGAACTCACTTAGGCAACTCAGCAGAGGTGAGTTAACAGCATGCATAACATATAATATATGTATGTATATACGTACCTCATAGGAGCCGGCCGTATCGAGTATGTCCAGCGTTAGGCTAACGCCCGCAATTGAAAAGTTACCCTGATGCATTTCCTCGATGGTCCGTTTATATTTCGTAGTGAATGTGTTATACAGAAATTGTGTGATTATCGAAGTTTTTCCCACTTTGGCCGCGCCCATGACCACAATTTTATGACGTGCATTTGCCGGTCCAATGGCATCGTCCACAGCATTATTGCGTCCCACTCTATATTGACAGCCAGCGAGTGTGAGCGAGAGCAATTGAAAGAGAGAGAGAGAGAGAACGAGAGAGGGAGAGAGAGAGGGAGAGATGGGGAAGATGATAGTATGTAGTAAGTGAGCGTCACAGAAAAATTGACTTGCAAGTTGAGTTAACTTAAATTCAATTATTTTGCGTTCGTTTTTCCATGTTTATTAATTTAATCGTGTGTCCGCATACAAACATACATACATATATAACTACTTTAGCTACCCAAGGGGCGCGGGGAGGTAGGCGGCGCCGGGTCTCATTTTGGTGGTATACAGCAACTGGTGCAGCGCTTCAATCTCCTCAGCGACTCATTAAAACTGTGCGCTACATTTAAAATTAATCAGTTTGCCGCCAGGACAACGAGGACGCCACCAAAGACAACAGATAAAAGACAAACTAAAGCATGTGCGTGTGTGTGTGTGTGTGTGTGTGTGTGTGTGTGTGTGTGTGTGTGTGTCAAGGTAGGTATGTATTGTCTGCCTTTAACAGCAGCGCTTTATAATGAATTATATTTGGAGCAACTGTTGCGGCAGCTGCCTGCTCAGTTGCACGCAATTTAACAATTTCATTTTTTTATTGCACTGCAATTTTTCAGTATTCCTTTGTGTCGTCTTCGTCAACGTTTCACAGGCGGCAAAAAGTGAAAGCTGAAACTGCAGCTGAATTGAAAACGGAATTCGAGCCCAATTAACTCTGTATCCAAGCAAAACGGAAGCCGAATTGAATTGAATCAAAATAAATTGCATAGTTTAACCAAAATTGAAACAAAATTGAGATTGACTTGCAGCAGAATTGAAACAGGATTGCAATTGAATTAAAACCAAATTGAAATTGCGTTGAATCTAAGTGCAGATGAAATTGAAATAAAATCGGAATCAAAATAAATTTATGAATTGAATTTAGAATTGAAATAAAACTGAATATAAAAAGAAAATGAATGAAAATATAATTTAAATTGACTTGACTAAGAATTGAAATTGAACTGATACAGCATTGAAAGCAAATATAAATGCAATTCTCTTAGAATGGCATCTAAAGAGAAACAGAATTGAAATAAAATTCAATCTAAATTGAAACAGAGAAATAAGCAAATTAAAACAGGATTAAAATTGAATAATTTCTGAATGGAAACAGAATTGATATGAAATTAAAACAAAATTAAATGAATATTTGAATCTGAATTGAATACGAAATTGAATTAGATCAGACTTTAAACAGAATTGAGATTGAAATGAAATTGAATTGAAATGTGCACATATTTTCAGTAAATTAATTTCATTTTTTTTTCTGGCTTTTCATACATTTTATTTAATTCATCATCACTTGGCATTCGGATTTAGTTTTTTTCTAAATTCAATTTTCTTTTTTTAGCCCGCTCAGCTTCAGCAGCAGTCGTCAGCTCGTTGAGGGTCCGGAGAACAATGGAATCTCAATCGCGCTTTGAGGCGACGGCAGTGACAGTTTGATCTAAGCGACTTATAATTTATATATATATATATATATATATATATATATATATATATATGTATATATATATATATATATATATATATATATATTTTTTTTTGTTCAGCATCGGACGGACCTTAAACCAAACTTGAGAAAAAAAACCCCGCAACGACAAAAGAGAGCAAATAATCAACGCAAATATGCGGCCCAAACCAGAGCAAAAAGGAAGGAAAAGACAAGATGAAGAAAAACAAAAAACCAGCAGCAAAGCTGAAATTCTTAACTTGGCTGGCAAAACAAAAGAAAAGTATGCAAAAGATGGTCCCTTGATTCAATGCTGCGGCCATTCGACCAACCGACCAATCTCTGTCCCTGGCTTACGACTGGGACTTGGCAAATCAGCCGTAGAATGTCTTATCACTGCTTGACCGACGGAGCTGTGGAGACTCTGCGGGTTCGAGTGGGTGTCGGGACTCGTCTTACCGAGCAAATAAGAACCGCCAGCAACAACAACAAAGTGAGACAAAACTTGAAACGTTGCGAAAAGGTAATTGTTGTCGGGAAGCAAAAAAAAAAAAAAATTAATCTGGCAAATGCCGTTGGGCTGCCCCTCGCCATTCCCTTCGGCCTAGACAGTTGCTGCGGACATGCAGGTGACATCCACCTGGGCATCAACTGGTAATATTCCCACTTGAAACAAAATAAATGTAAGAAAAAAAAAATAAATAAGAATAAAGAACAGAACCAAACAAAAGAAAAATGAAAATCAACAGCAAAAGTAATATAAAATTCTTTCTGCTCTAAGGAATTCAATATCTGCAAGAACTTTAACAATTTTACTGTCGGATTCCTTTCACCCGTTATTGTAGTTATTTTTTGTTATTGTGTTTTTTTTTTTTTTTTTTCTCTGTTGTGATTTTAATAAGATATTGTGATTGCTGTGACATCTGCTCTACTCTCTCGGTGCACGACGAGTGAAAACGCGTGCCATGGAATTTGGCTATAATTAAAAAAACTATTTGCTCTAGAGAACATACCTTCTACATTGTGCATCAGCGATTTAATAAACCAACTTTCATTATTAATTAAAAAAAATGTTAAAAATTTCCATTTCAACAAACATAATGGACTATATTGAAAAATGCTGCAGAATGCGCTTTAAATATTTTTGCTGTCAATATAGTGAATTCTTGTATTATCTTTAAAAGCTGACAAAAAAAAAAAAAAATAAATAAAAATAAAAAAAATAATAAAATAAAAAGGAATATAAATATGTAAAAATTTGAAATAAATTTCAAAAATATTATAATATATAAATGTAGGTATATTTTAATTTTGGTATATATCGGAGGGTTGGATAAAACTTAATGAAACAAATTTTAATAACAATTGAGCTCATTAAAAAAACTTCTCTATAAATAAATTATAGTTTTTATAGTTATATTATAATTTTAACAATTTAAAATAATTAAACTAAAAATTAAAGAAATAAAATAAAACTAAAAAATAAAAATGGAAAACTATTTGCATTTAATAGTAATAGTAAAGTATTCTATTAATTATTATTTACTTCTTTTTTTAAATATTTTATTATTTAAAATAATTAAAATAAAAATGAAAGAAAACCTAAAAAAAAAAAAAAAAAAAATGGAAAAATAATTTTAATTTGATAATAATGATAAAATATTTTTTAAAGCAACGTTATTTTTCATAAGTATTATAGAGAGATTTAAAAATTTTAATTAAATAATATAAACTGTAAAGCATATGTTGCTATCATATTTATTTGCCTTTAGTTTTCTCTGCTCTTAACTATAGAATATTTGTAATTTTATTTTATTTAATTTTTTTTTTTTATATATATTAAGTGATAAATATCAATAATTAAAGCAATATATGTGTCAGTGTGTAAAGAATGTCTATTTATATCTAATATCTATCTAGTATACTACACTATAAATATAGATATAGCAACGAATATAATTATTAAATAAATTTATGTGTTTTCTGAAAAGTTTTATACGCGCTCTGTGGTTAGCTTGTCGATCGGCTTGACATGTAACTTAACTTATGCATGTGAGTGAGTGTGAATGTGCTTGGGTATGTGTACGTGTGTGTTGTTTACCATATGTATTTGAGGCCATAACTTACTTGTCACGCTTGGGCTTATCCTCGGCGCTGTCATCCTTCATGAACGAGGGCTGCAGGCTGAAACGTCGGCGCAAGTGACGGCCACGCATTTTGTTGCTGTTGTTGTTGTTGCTGCTGTTGCTGTAAAAGGTGCTGGCTTGGCAAGGGATTGATGTTCCGCTGTTGGCTGCAAGCACAGCAAACAGTAAATCAGGCGAAAAATCCCGTTATATGGCAATGTTGCCACTGTTGCTTTCCCTCTCCCTCTCTCACAATCTCCCTTTCTCTCCTCTCTCTCACTCCCTCTCTTGCTGTATCTACGTTTCTCTTTCGCTGTTGCGTATTTTTATCCTTTTTGGCTTTGTGGCGCTATTTCCAGTGTTGCATAAATTTCAAAGAAGTCGCGCAATGCACTTGATTATTCAATATATTTTGAGCTGTTGCCCTTTGTATTGCAATCGTTGGCTCTATAAATTCTATGCTTTATGCGTGCCAGGGACTTTCGGTAGGGACACTCGGGTAGTATGTATCTTCTGTATTTGCAATGGTTTTTTGTTCAGGGCCCTGTATGCCTTTTTAAGTTGGCTTAGTTCATTACTTATTAGCCCGACAGCGTTTTATGCAAATATTTGTAGCCAGCTCTCGTTTCGTTTTAATTATGTGGCCCGACCAGCTCCACGAAAATGTAAATGTACCTGCAAATTGAAAATTTCCGTAAGTTGAGTGCGAGAAACACAACAACAACAACAACAACAACAACAACAAGTAAGAAATGGGAGATGAAGCACAACAAAATGGCCATAAATTACACACTGTTTAAGTGTTGAACATCGTCAGACAGAGATGGCAGCAGCCAGAGCGAGATAGTTACGCCGGGGCCTTATTTAATTGTAGATAAGTATGTATGTACTTCGCATATAAATATATATACGTACATCCACATTTACAGTTAGCTTGAAAGCAGTTAAAGCCTAAATACCCTAGCTATACTGAAAGTGCTGAGCGAAGTACCCTCGCCAGTGTTGTGAAATTATACACAGAATCAGAACTTTTTCCTACCCATAAAATGCGTGTTTTACGACACAAATTCGATTAAAGGCCAAAATTATATAGCTCTTTGTCACGTAAAATTCGTGAGCTTTCAGCATGCTCTTCCGTTCGCACCATTTGACTGGGCCAAAAGAGCTGCAAAAGATTTACAATTTGCATACAAATTATATTTAACGTGCAAAAGCGATGCGATGCGACATCAGTTTTAGTTTTCCTTTCCCTTTCACAAGTTCAGTAACAAAAACTTGAAAAGGAACTTTTTTGTATTTAGTTATTTATACATGATTTACATTTCGTTATATTTATTTTCTATGCATATTCTGGTACGAAATGCCAGACAGGGCATAGTTTGCATATCAAATCAGAGGATTTAATAGACTCCGCTGAAACTAACTTTTGGTCAAAGATAATAGATAACGAGATCTACAGATCTAAAGATCTACATAAATTTCAATAGAGCTTTTAAATTTGTTAAAAGGGTTTTTAAATAGGAATATAAAGAATATGCAATTTAAATTTAAATTCAATTTCAACTGGATAGAATCAGCATTGAAATTGAAATTAAAACTAAATAGGTTCTAAATAAAGCAGATTTGAATGTGACTTGAAATTGAAATGAAAACCATCGGACCTTATCAACTACAGAACTCTCATTCAGATCCATTTTCATTTCCATTTCCACTGACACTTTATTAATTGAGGGTGTACTTGAGCATATATTCCAAATTTCTCGTGAATTGAAACCAATATACTCATTTCATTTTCTTGAATGAGTATAAAATTGATATGAAGTCAAGAATTAAATTCTTGTATTTATTAAATGCGCATAAAGCTCAATTTGGCACAAAAATAGCTAAACTTTCACGGAAATCAAAACAGAATTTTCTAATCATTGAAAATATAAATAACAACAGCAAAATCAAACAATTTCAATAGTTCAATTTTGGATTTAGCCAGGCTGTCGCTCGCAGCCAAATAACAGAAATTCTTCTTGGCTTAAGCTAATTCCATATAAATTTCAGCTACAGAAAGCTGAAAATGTTTGTGTTGTATTTGGTTCTTAGCTGGATTGAGTTGTTGGGAAAACGGAGCGGCAAAAACTAAAGCGTAAGACTTCTCAGTCACTCGAGTTGTAAAAGCGAAAAGGAAAGGAATTTTTTTTTGGTTTCCTTTTTTTTTTTTGTTTTTTGTTTTTTTAAATATGAAAATACCCTGTTAAGCGTGAAGAATTGTTGTGCACTGCGAGCTCAGATAATTAAACTTAAAACGAGAACATTTGCGAAAAGTTTAACAGTTGGCATCTGCACTGAAGTTGTGCGCAAAGTAATTAGACAAATTTATGTGGGGCGTGCAACTGAAAGCTGCTGCTTAATTTTGTTTATGTTGGCCGCCAAGCTGAGCAAAAGTAGCTGAAAGCCGACACCCGCAGCACGGAGAGACAGAGACAGACAGACAGCGAGACAGACAGATAACGGGAGACGAAGAGAGCGAGAGGGTGAGAGGGCGAGGGGGCGAGCAGCCAGCAGAAATGAGTAGCACATGGTTAAGAAAACTCAGTTGGCAGCTTTGCAGACATCATTTTCATTTTCATTTTGTTTTTGTTTTGCTTGCACCTTGCTCTTTGTTTTTGTTTTTGTTTTTTTTTTTCAAATTAAATTTTAAGCAGCACGACCTGCGTATACCTGCACTTAATTGTCATCGAATCAAACAAGACTTAATTATCAATTACGTGAGTTTTGGCTTAATTGAACAGGCCTGATGGAAGCTACAGAAAAATGTTAGAAGTTACAGCCTAATATACCCCATCGGACGGCCGGTGCATGGCGCGGTCCAACGATTAAAACAACTTAAGGGAAAAGTTTGCACAAGGCACAAAGGCAAAGAGCAATAGTTGGCAAAGTTCAGAAGTTGTACCAATGTTGTACAAAAGAACCCAGAGCTCCGAATTCCAGCATAACAGGACAAATTTAAATTTAAATGAATTGAAATTTAGGAAGAACACAATTTGAATAAACTGAATTTGATTTAATTGTGTTGGATGTGCATTTAAACTAAATTGATGTATGTGGACATAATCTATGAAGAGTATTGTATGACCACAGGCGATGGCGATTCAAGGAACTCGACCTTATTCAGCACATATTGAATTTCTAGTTAAATAATTTCAGATTATCAAACTGACAACATATACTTAGGCATGTATGTGTGTGCGTGTGTGTGTGTGTGTTTGACTTATTGAACTATAATGCAAACCGAATTACGACCAAAGCACACCCCAAGGTAGAGGGCGTAGACCAAATTTAAACGCCGAAATTCCACGAAAACCACAAAAAAAAAAAAAAACACACACACACACACAACAAACACACTCACACGCGCACGCACATGCATGCGTGATTACGTTGTCCGGCAACTCAGATTTCAGATCTCATTAGCCGACAACTAAAAATGAAATTATTTAAATGCCATCAAATAGCATTTGGAGCCAAAATCCCATTCTGGTTCGGCCCCCATAAGTTGCACTTGAAACTGATTCAATTATTGCGGCATTTCACATGCCATTTGCGGCCGGATCGAAAGCGCCGTCAACCCCAAACGAAAGTTTACACCAATTTCAATTGATTTAAAACGAATTCAATAAATAGAATCGAGGATTGAATGTAGGAATTGGCCAGGGTATATAATAAAATAGCCCATTAGCAATTTATTTAAGGTTTAAGTATTTTTTGAATATTTAAATATATATTATTTATTTTTATTTATTTAAGAGCTAACTTATTAATAATAAAATTAAAGGCTAGCTTAGTATTATTATTATTTATTAAATATTTAAATAGGAGAAGTGACTTGAAAATTTTGATTCGTTTAGCTATAAATTTAATTGATAAAAATATTTAAAATTGTTTATACAAAAAATTAAAGCCACAGCTCGAAAATAACTGTTAAGCGTTTTATTCTTTGCGCTCTATCAGCTAAGTCAACCAATAAAATCATATTCACTCCCACTCTCACACACTCTCTCTCTTTCTCACACTCACTCTTTTATCGCTCTCTCTCTCTCCCTCTCAGCGAGTGCCTTCGTTTCTTTTCTTTTTCGTTTTCTGTTGAGCGCCTTGGGTCTGTTCCTCTTTTTAAGAACATCATTTCGGCAGCGATACGATTCACGTTCTCACAATGCATTGACTCGAAAAGTCACTGCAAAAGGTCTTCACATACACACACACACATGCACACAAGCATTTCACGTACGCTCTCAATGTGTTTAGCGAGCGCAATGCTTGCCTACATACCAATACATATGCAAAAGTCTTTCTGCTGTCAGTTGCAAGCCGAACCTAAACGAACTTATAAAGGAACCGACTCAATCGGTTGCTCACTGAGTTTTTTCTCAAGTGTGTGTGGAAAACACCTATTTGCAGACATCGAGAAACGATCAAAAGTTATTTGGGAGCTTAGATTAAAATTAAATATTGCAATAAAAAAAAAAAAAAAATAAAAAATAAATAAATTTAAGCTCATAATAAATGATACTAAACAGAAGCAAATTTAGTTAGGACTAAATAGCTATACAAATTTATTTATTTTTGCAAAATTGTGCATTCTGAAGCTTGAAAAATCAAACATATGGTCAAATTTTAGGCTTTTGAGATTAGCCGTTGTGAGCATAAAAGAATAAAACATTTGTATTTAATTCCGATTTTAGAGGCTTCTACCAGGAAAAAATATTCCATAATGTACCCAATCATTTTTAGAGTGTATGTATGCATGGCTAGCTTAGCATTTATGCATGTAAATAGACATAGAAAGAGAGAGTCACACACACACACACACACACAGGCAGATATACATACATACACACTTGGACAGCTCAACGAACAGTTGATCATTGCACAAAGCCAGCATCATCTCTCTTTCTCACTCTCTCTCTCACTCACTCACGCTGTCAACGAGTATAAGTAGATTTATATGCTTTGGGTATGTGCACGCCTAGAGAATAATGTTGTCAAAATATGTAGCATACTTTTTGGGGCATTTTCACTGCACACAGAAGACGAGCATAATTGTATTTAAGGAATCGGCCTGGAGTGCCAGTGGGAGCAGTTATTCGATTGCGCCATGAGGATATTGAGACTGTGCAGGTTTTCTTGTGCTGCTAGCTTCTGATTTTTATTTACTTTTTTTTTTTTTTTTTTTTTTTTTGGATCCGGTCGTGAATCTTGAGTCTTGGGTCTGATTGGAATGGCTGCTTCAAATGGCCTGGCCAGGCGTCTAGGTACTGCAGCCCAAAGTGCTCTCGGTCCCCGCACCTGTACTAGGAGTAGACTGAAACGGATCATGACCTCAACATCTGCCTCTTGTCTTAATAATTTATTAAGCCTTGCCCATATTTTCTACCCTCTAAAATATCTTTTCTTAGTTATGTCTTTAAGTAGGTATATAAATTAATTAAACTCCAGCTTGGCTTAAGGTGCCTAAAAAGCAACGGTACGTTAAACTGTAAATAAATATTTCAAAATTTAAATAATATGAAACAAAAAAAAGGATGGCTGCTTAAATGTGCTTAGGCATGCCCAAGTTTCGGTGTTTGGCATGCGGGCGAGTGGGCGAGCGTGGTGGATGGCTGTGGTTGTGTGCGTCTTAAGCC